ACTAAGGAAAAGAGATCATGGCTGTTGAGTCTACTCCAGACCCCAAGTCGGTTCCGAGACAAATGCCTAAGTCTTTTGAACCACACTCTCAGAGGCAATATGACTTCAAAGAAGATCAAGTCACTTCTACCTTCGATACTCTCCTCAAGAGCAACAGGATAAAGCTGCCGGAAGTGAAGAATTCTAAGGACCTACACAAGACGGACGATCTAAACTACTGTGCCTATCACAGAATGTTTGGTCATCCTACCTCTAAGTGCTATATCCTCAAAGAAAAGCTTCAAGCTCTCTATGACGCAGGAGTTTTAAAGAAGGAGAAGGTGCAGAAGAAAGTGACTACAAATATGGTCACTTTAAAATTCGGGACAGACCTTCCCGAAGTCCATACACCGGTAGGGATAGTGCCCATCTCCAAGGCGGAGCTAAAGATCATCAATGCCGATCCCTACAATCAGCGAGAGAAGGGTCTAGTATCGTAGACATTGCCATCAAGGCAAGTAATGTGGGTTCACCCTGGTTTCCTCGATGACAAGCAATGGACTTCTAAGTATTCGAGGAAGTCTCAGGGTAAGGATAAACTTTGCAATGTTGTTTCTACAATTCACGATGAAGACAAGATAGGAATGGCGACCCCTACCAACTCAGACAATGAGGTGGACGCATTGGCTACTCGAGAAGGGAAGGACTTTGCCAAGAACTACCCTTCAATGGCAGAAAGCCCAACAAGGCCATCGGTAGGACCATCACCAGCAGTCCGACCGAATCCCGATACGCCGAGTTCAAGTAGTCAAACCTTTTAGTTCAACGTACTCATGCAACTAAAGAACATTCTAGCCAGAATTACCTTGTATGAACTCCTACGGTCATCCAAGTCTACCCGGGAAGCTCTACGATAGGCACTAGATGACTCAGATGCTTTTACCACACAGTTCTCACCTACTCCAGAAGGGGACGCGAAAAAGAGATGGCCGCAATGCTACCAGATATCCAAACAGTAGATTCCATGCATTACCTTCACTCCTGATGACACGCTCATCAATCGTACATTTAACAACCGACCCTTATACTTCACGAGTTATGTCGGTTCCTCTAAGGTAGACAGGATCCGAGTGGATCCAGGGTCTGCACTAAGCATTGTCCTCCTAAAACTCATCAAACACTTGGAGGTACCTCAAAAATGGTTGTCGGCAATGACTACCACCATCTTCGGCTTTAACGCCACCGAAACCCGACCATTAGGGAAGATTCGCCTTAAATGTCGGCTGGGTAACATGAAGACAAAAGTAACCAACTATGTTATCGATGCAGAGCCTTCCTACAACATGCTATTGGTTCAGCCATAGATCTATAGCAATCGGATAGTCCTATCTATATTGCACCAATGCTTGAAGTATGTGGACGACTATGACCAAGAAAGGATGGTGTTTGCTGATAAGCAACCCTTCAAGGGAGTCAAAAATTACTTCATCGACTCTTTACTTTACTAGGACTGTGAATCTGAGAACGAACCACCAGTCAAGGAACCTGGTAGTGGCAACGAGGTTGATAGTGAGTCAGAATACAATGAGGGTCTTGTCTTGAACAATATTGAACCCATTATAATTGGCTATGAAGGCCTCGATGTAGTCGACGCTAACGAAGTCGATGAATTTGTTATCAATGAATATTTCAACTTTTCTTACTTATCATCTAGTTCAGAGTCTAATAGTGATGAGTCTAACAATCTAATTTTAGGGTTGCTTAATAACTCTTCTTTACCCTTGCTTGTGCACTCATCGTTTGTCACAGACAAACAAATGATCGAGTCATCGCAAGCTATCTTTGTCGTACTGGCCCACTATAACTACTAGAAAGATATTGTCTTTCGATGGATAGACCAACCTATGCATACGATGTGGGACAAAAAGAAGATGATGAGCCCGCCCCTCAATTCTCACACTACGATCAGATAGCAATACGTATGATAGAGAACATGGGTTATGATCTCACCCGCAAAAAAAGGCTTAAATTATGGCAAAGGGTGAAGGACAATTTTCTGACCTGCCTATGTGCCCAAAGGAAAGCCTGTAATTACTTTAACAAAACTTGAAGAGGGTTAGGTTATGCCTCCTCTTCATTAGAGTTGTACTGTGATTTCGGTGAAGGAGCCGATGAAACTCATTCCGGGGACTCATCGTCGACATCCTCGATGTGGGATTCGAATGTTAGCATCAGAGCTGTATTCAAGAATCTTACAGTCAACATGGCTATGGGTGATCCTACCAAACTTAAAGAGGATGACCAGATCCCGCTTTACAACGAAGCATGAGATCGTCATGTCAGTGCCTAATGGAGTGGCCGGTTTGAACAACACGAACCACCTACTGAGGAAAAAGTGCTCAAAGTGAATATGGGGGATGAGGCCAACCCCAAGCCCATATTTATAAGTGATAGCTTACCTCCTTCGGAGAAAGAAGACCTTATATCCCTCATCTAGGAATATATTAACGTCTTCACCTGGAACTACGAGGACATGCTTGGCTTGGACTCACAAGTAGCCATGCATCGTCTCAACATCAAGCTGGATGCAAAACCGATCAAGCAACAACAAAGATGGTTTCGTTCACAAATCATAGAGGTGATCGAAGCCGTAGTGAAGAGGCTAATTGATTCAGGCTTCATCCGAGAAGAGAAACACCTATACTGGGTGGCAAACATCATTCCAATCCTAAAGAAGAACGAAAAGATCCGTATCTGCATCGGCTTTAGATATCTTAATGCGGCATGTCCGAAAGATGAATTTCCTTTACCCATCATGGATGTTGTTATAGACAATACGTACGGGTTTGAAAGGATGTCCTTCATGGATGAGTTTTCAGGATATAATCAAATCAAAATGCACCGTAAAGATGAAAAATATACTTCATTCAGGACTCCAGTATGTACATATTGCTACACAGTGATGCCCTTTAGACTCAATAATGCAGGCGCGACTTATCAACACGCCATGCCCACAATCTTCCAAGATCATTTATGAAAGACAGTTGAATGCTACGTAGATGATTTAGTCGTGAAGAGTTGTAGCAAAGGCGATCACCTTCAAGACCTGAAAGTGATGTTCAAACTTTTGAGATCTTATTAATTGAAGATGAATCCTACGAAGTTATTTTTTGGGATGTTAAACAGCAAATTCCTTAGGTTTGTCATCACGACCAAGGGAATCTACATAGACCCCGACAAAGTGCGAGCTATCCAAGAGCTCCAACCACCCAGGAATCTCAAAGAACTGAGAGGCCTACAGGGACGTCTGGCTTATATTCGTAGATTCATTGCAAATCTTTCGGGCGAATGCTATCCCTTCTCAAAACTGATGAAGAAGGGTGTATCTTTTGTATGGGACGAAGCTTGTCAGAAAGCATTCGATGAGATCAAAGCTTATCTCTCAAACCCACCTGTTTTGGTGGTCCCAATCTCAGGGAAACCCTTCCTAATCTATGTGCGGGTAATGGAGCACTCTCTTGGTGCTCTTTTAGCACAAGATGACGACATCGGCCATGAGCAAGGAATCTATTACATGAGTAGAACCTTATAGGGAGCTGAGCGCCGAAACCCTATGGTCGAAAAGGAATGTTTGGCCTTGGTGTTTTGGTCAAAAGTTGGTTCTTTCACTAACAAACTCATAACAACTTTAATCGTTACAATGATCTTAACAAATGAAAAAATTACAACTTTCTGAAAACACACACAACAGACGTTTATCACTCGCTGTTTGCATGTGATCTTGTCCCTAATGCGCAGGGTTTAATCAGTGGACCACCGAGCGATCAGGTTAAAGTATAGATTTTGTTGACTTGCAAAGAAATCAAGAAATTAAAGCGAATATCTTAGCAAAGAGAGATACCCACTCTTCTCGAGAATCGCAGCTAGGTACGATCTCAAGGAAAAGGGATGAACCGGACTGTAGATCTATCAAACTCTCATTCTTTATGCTGAAGAACTCACCATGATCTCTTCCTCTTCTCTAAAATTCGTGGCTTCTCACTCTCCAATCCAGTAGGGTTTCGCCAAGGCTCAAGAATTCTGGATTATAGGCTTCAGAAGCTTTGTTTTAGGATAAGAACAGCCGATTCTCTCTTATCTTTAGTTAAAATCACATTCAAATTAGTTAGAGAGGCTTTGGATTAGAATATACCGAAATCTAGGTGGTTAATAGCAAAAAAATGGGCATGAAACAGTATTTTTAGGGCCGAGACACAAATGTGTCTTAGCCTTGGCCGAGACACCGTTTTCCCCTTTTTAACTGTTTTTATCGTAACTTTTCGATTCAGTTCACTACAACAAATCTGTTTTTTTATAGCGTTGAATGATAGCGTTTATATTATAAGTGCTATAGATCGTATATGCCTTATTTTTTGATAGCGTTTGGAAAATTTTAAACGCTATGAGTAATAGTAGGCAATTTTTTTTGTTCCGACGGCTTGAAAACTTAAGCGCGAGAGTGAAAATTAAAACACGCTTCATTCGTCTCCAACCCCCCCAATTTCATTGGTCCCGCCCCGAGAAAAAAAAAACCCTAACCCCAAAAAATTCCGCTGCCCTTAATCTTCTCCCTCAGACGCCCCACTCTCCCTCTCTCGTCTATCTCTCCTCTCAGATCTCTCTATCCGAGATCGACCCGATGGGAAGTACATCGAGAGGAGCTCGATGTACTTCATGGCGACGAGCTCATTTGTCTCCTTGTTCCTCATCAGCCTCGCCACCCCGAAGTTCACCGATCTGATGTCCCGATATTTACAATTTTCTTGATTTTTTTTCAAAATTTTCTGAGTTTTCTTGGGTTTTTTTGGAGCAGATCTTAGCAAGAATCCTGTGGATGGATTCTCGGCTGGCCTGGTCGACGATACCAATATCTTCGAGTTGAGCGTCACGATCATTGGGCCGTCCGATACGCTATAGTGAGTGATTCCTTTCGGATTGCGATCTTTTCCGTTGAAATTACCTCCTTAAACCCTAAGGTGACGATGGAGAGGGTCGAGAGCGCGGCTGCGATGTCTCAGAGGGATCTCGCCACCGCTGGTGAGAATGTCACGGCCTGGAAAGTCTCGCAGGCCACTCTGGTTTCGTTGCAGGTGGATTCTTGGAGCGCGGTAGGGTTTCAGCTCCAGGAAGTTCCGACTCTTTGCCAATTGCTGGCTATTGAAGGAAAGGTTCAAATTTTACTTCTCTCCATTTGTTTAAGGAAACCAAGGATTGACATTACTTATAGGGGATTATCTTTGAAATCGTGATGTTATAGATAATTGGCATAGGTCCTTAGAGGGAAAATCCTGAAGGAATTAAGCAAAAAATGGGAAAATTGACAGATCCAATTACATTGTATCAAATCATTTCTGACTGCTACGTGATAAGAGAGAAGAAGAAATTGACAGATGTACGTATTAACTTAATCTTTGATTGTTTACGCTAAATATGTAGCTAACTTAATTCGGGTTAATGTTCTAACTAATATTGGTGATAAAATGGTAAATGTTAGTTAGAATCCCTGATTTAGAAATTATATTTTTAATATTTCCTTGTGACGGTTGAGTTCTGAAAACAATTCACGTTGAAAAGCTAATCAAGACCACAATTGCCAGGCTGTTACTAAATGTTATCGAGGTAAGGAAGCGCATAACACTGTTTATTTATTCTGTTTCTTGATACTAATTTCTTTCGCTTTAACGTATAATTCTTTACATTAGTTCGTAAAAAAGAAGATGGATTCATTTCTGATTCTTTGTTGAGTTTTTCTCCCCAATTTAAGACAGTCTGATTGCTGGGTTAAACTGGTGGACTTTGGATTAAGACATGTTATATTGCTATTTTTTTTTATTATAATCCCCAAAATCTAAATGTTTAGATTTGTGGAGTTGTTTCATTGCATAGGTATAAGGTTTAAGGTGAAAGCAAGTCTAAGTAGAACAGTTCAGAATTTTTGAATTAATCCAATCATTTCATCACAATCTTTTTGCTTGTTTCGAAAATGTTGTAATATTTTAGCAATTATGCAGTTTGTCTAAATGGCTCCTTAGTTATACACTTACACTTACATAGCTTCATACGTTGAGAGGTTAATGACATTTTATTCCCAAGATTTTTATCAATATGCAAGCTGAAGAGGAATATCAGTCATTTCTGCGTTTGATTCCCTTTTCAATATTTAGAAATTTTTAGATAAATGCATATATACACTGCTTTGTCGGTGTGCAAAGCATTACAACTGTATATGACTTGGAGGTGGCAATATGCAAGAATGAGGGTATTGAACGGTTTGAAGAGCTTGGCATGGGTCCTCTATCTTGCTACCCTCTTGTGCAACATTACTTCTTTGTTGGTTCAGATTCTGTTGATATTTTCAAAATATCAGCTGAGGACGTTATAGCTTCCTTGCATAGCTTCTTGATGCAGTGCAAGAGGAAAACAGTGTCAGCAGAGGAGTTGTTAGACTTTCTTGCAGAGCAGAAGTCACTTCCACATAAACAAAAGCTTGGTGTGCGGATTCAGAACTTGGGGTATGTGCTCCTCCTTTGTGCATGGTTTGGAATAGTGGTCCATGTAGCTTCTTTGCTCTTCACACACACTACACACTCCATGGGATATGGCAAGTTGCGAAGACACACTTTTATCATCATATCATATTTCAGATGGAACAAACATGCTGCCTACAAACTTACATTTGTAAACCTGAAAATAGTTGTAATTTGGCTGTTCTTTTCTCTACTTGCTCAGCACACTTTCTTTTATGCAGAAGTAGGTATACTTCATTCTCTCTCATTTACCATATGTGTACACTAACACATGTGGCTAACTTTCTATCTCTAGGTTTATTTTATCCATTTATATGGATTCATACTGTGGAAGTAGGCTATGCACCTTACTTCTTATTATGCTTTTATAGGTAGAATTAAACATTCACCTGTCAGAGTAATTCAAAACCAGCAATATCCGTAATTCCAAGTTTAAGAGTAGAAGTGCTCTTACACCATGTTTTTATAAAATGCCATGTTATGTGCACCAAGGGATCATAAATCTGTTAGCTGTGGAGTTCATCTCTGACTATACTGCAGTGTTTAATATATGGCATAATCCTTTACCTCTTTTGTTTACCTTAATGGATTTTGTTACTTAAAAGTATAATCCAATTTCCCATTTACTAGTTAAGTTATTTTGGTAGGTTGCATGTAGCGTACATCCGGCGAGGCGAGCAATCAGAAAAGACTATTCTCAATAAATCCCTGAAGGGTTTCAAACATAAGATGAAAGAAAGGTACTCTATAGAACTTCCATCTAGTACACAGATGCATTTAGAAAAGAAGATACTTAATGAGCGTTTTGATTCTATTTCTAACCGTGTTAAGATGTTTTCCTCTTCGTCCAATGGTTCTGGTGGTAAGCACACCCATTTTTATTATTCTTCTGATGACGAGTGTGAAGATTATGAGGACAATGATAACAGTGACCATGTAAATTCTTGTTCACATCAGATTTCATCTCATGATAATGGCAGTAGCCAAAATTATCCATAATCATCAGCAGCTGAAGAGATGAAAAGGCTTGGACTGATATCCAAAACCGGCGAAAAACCCCTAAAGGACAAACTAATGGATGTTTGGTGCAGGTCTTTCAGAAAAGGACAGACTAAAGGACAAACTAAGAAGAAGAAACGGAAGCGTCGAGAGAATCATGATAATACTATGAACAAATTTATGAGAAAGGAAGAAATGATCGACGTCAAAAGGCAATCGGATAGCATTAAAGAAATGATCGACTTCAAAAGGCAATCGGATAGCATTATTATTGTTGATGGTTACATAGAGGATTTCTTAACAACATGGAAAGAAGCTTGTCGAGAAAATTCTGCTGCTGAGGTATGCCTATTTTAGCTGTACAATACCCTCCACACTGTTTTAATGAACATCCCTGAATGTTTTTTTAGTCGGACATATAAGCATACGACTTATTTTATATTAAACTAATGCACAATTAAAGGATATATATAATCAGTAACTGTCCAGTTTTTCTGAACTAGCCCTGTTCTGAAACTTTGCGTTTCCTCCATTGACAAATTGCTTATTTTCTTTGCTCTGTTGAATATCTAATGCTCTTAAACCTTTTCTTTGTTAAACCATTTCTGCAGGTCCTTGATATGATGATTAACTTCTATATGACATCAAGCACTGAAAGAAAGAAGAGACAGATTCAGATGATATTCTCAACCTTGCCTGGTTCTGGATTGCTAAATGTTGCTGTGAGTTTTTCTTTATCGGATGCTTATTTTTACTTTTTTCTATGCCAATTAGTTGTGCACACTTAGATACATCTGTGTAATCATTTTATTTTTCATCTATTAAACCATTTTGCAAAATCTTGTATTTTCCTTTGCGAATTTACCAGGTACATTGATAGCAAACCAAATCACTGGCATCCTAATTACAGCGTTGTGGTCAAGGGCATCGAGGAAGTTAACAAGATGAGCTTGACATTATGTGTTAAGCATTTTTGTCTAGACTTGACACTATTATGGAGATTTCAACAGCACTATGAATATAATTGACTTGCTTGATAGGTAACTCTCTGCTTGTTTATCGATCTTTTAGGTTTCATGGCAAATCTGTATCTTGCCAAACATCTTGTTTTTGGTCGGAAATCAAGTGGCAATTTGGCAATTTCTAGAGGCGGATATCGAGTGGATGTGTTATATTTCCTTCATATCAAGTGGACAAGCTTGGACATGTTTTTACTTTTTAGTGTTATCTATGTTGATTTTTGCAATTTGAAATGATGAACATAGGTGCATATCTTCCAGTTGATTCCACATCCACAATATGATCAGGTTCTTCAACCATATTTACATGCCTCATATTTGAACTTAAGGCCTCATGATACAGTATCAGGCACATTTTTATTTATTGGCATGTTAAAATTTTTGCCTTTCGAAATATTTTACTTGCTTGGCCTTGTCAATTCTAATATTTGGTTGCAAAATTACATTTCGAGTTAAGTTCTTCATGGCTAATATATACTGAGCTAGAATCTGTATTACTTGCTCCCCAAGATGGACCAGTTCTTTTCGAAATATTTTACTTGCTCCCTAAGATGGACCAGTTACAAAGTTGTTATGCTTTGAAAAGCTGGTAAGTTATACATCTTGCAATCGTGTGTTTTTACTTTATCATGTTTGTTATAGTTGTAATTTTGGTGTTGTTAAGATGGACCAGTTACAAAGTTGTTATGCTTTGAAAAGCTGGTAAGTTATACATCTTGCAATCGTGTGTTTTTATTTTATCATGTTTGTATAGTTGTAATTTTGGTGTTGTTAATTTTTGTTTTTGCAGCAGTACTAGTACTCAATTTTGAAGACGATGAGTCTCCCAAGTCATATGTAATGCAGGAAAGTTAGTTTTTGTTGTTCTGTGTACTATGGTTAATTTCTTGTACTCCATGTTGGACTATCCAAAGACTAGTATTTGTTTTTTGGCACATTTGTGTTGACTCTTCTTGTATGCTACAACTTGGTTATGTATCAGTTTGAATCTTTAAATGAAATATTTGCTTTTATGGTTGTCACAATTGGATGTTATTTCTAGTTCAACCTCAAAGGTTTATAGGCACAACTGAAATGCTATAAGAAGTGAAAACAATTACTGAAATGCTATTAAAAGAAGAAAGACAACATTCACTGAAACGCCATTGTAGTAACTCAAACGCTATCAAATGTAAGACAATAGCAACGTTGAAATGCTATGAATGAAAACTAACTAATAGCGTTTTTCAACCGCTATGAAAGATATTTGTCATAGCAATATAGAAACGCTATTGAATACTCTTTTATAGCTACATAAAAACGCTATGGTTGGAAACTAACTAATAGCGTTTTCAACCGCTATGAAAGATATTTTTCATAGCAATATAGAAACGCTATTGAATACTCTTTTATAGCTATATAAAAACGCTATGGTTGGAAACTTTTTGATAGCGTTTGGGGAAACGCTATGTAAAACCACAGACCTACTATAGCGGGTTCTGACACAGCGTTGATTAAAATGCTATGAAATAATACCATAGCGTTTTTCGACCGCTATGGTAGATTTCAGGTGTTGTAGTGGTTTCAGAACGACGTGATTCGAAGTGTGTCAGAAAGCTGGGGAAAAGATCTATAATCTCCTATGGGTGAATCATATGTGGAGTAGATGATTAGATCATTTCTTTGCTATTCTACCATCCTATTGATTCGTACGCTTCGTCGACTCCCTTCATTCACTTGTCGGTGTTAGATAATCCTCTTTGACTCAGAAAATGTTATTTATCATATTTTCTTCATCTTGAATTATATATAAAAACCCATAGATAATTTTTGATGCCTACAGATACCCCCTCTAAAGTATTTCAGTCTCATTTCTTTTATAGAAGAGCTTGGAATACTTTGGATGTGACAGGTCCAACCTTAAGTCAGCTTCAAAGGACCTGTAATTAGCTTTAGTTCTTAAATTTTTAATTTTCAATCTATTCAGTATTTTATCAAATAGCTAAAAAAAATTCGACACTGCGTTTATCGTCTGATTGTTGTTGAAGTCTCGAACTAAGACTGGTGTGTTGATTTCTGATTTTAGCTCATGTCGTTGAGTCGATGTTGAACTGATTATCTTTGTCAGGGATTCGTATCTAAATTATGACTAAACTCCTTGGGGATTATCATACAATCTTAAAGAATCAGAGTGCATTTCGACTGATATCGTAGGGTATGTCGATTAAGACCACTTGTCGTGTCGACACAAGAGGCGTCATCGAGTCGACACAGAGGGTTTCATTTCGTCCGGTCAAGCTTCGTGCCGACTAGTCTAGTTTCGTGTCGACTAGCTTCATGTTTCGAGTCGACACAGGAAGTGTCAACTCATCTGGTTGGGCATAGACTTGATTTGAGCCTTGTTTCGACGAAATTTGTCAACACGTTGATTTTCATTACGACGCGCTAACACGCGTTGACCTCTATCATAATGCGTTGACTGGTGTTGACCCAATGCTACGCGTTAATCGGTGTTGACCTAAGGCTACACGTTGACCAGCGTTGACCCAAAGCTACGCATTGACCAGTGTTGACCCGAGGCTACGCGTTGACCAGTGTAAACATAGTTTATACTCATGCGTTAACTGGAGTCTACACAGTTTAGGCTCTTAAGACGTTGGAGCGTGGAGGATCAGTTTATACTTATATACTCCTTGGAGTTTTGGAAATTAGTTTAACCTCGTGTACCCATTGGAGGTTCACGAAGATGCAGTTTAGACTCGTATACTCATCGGAGTGTGGGAAGAACAAACTGAGAATGCATCAGATGCTCGCCAGGTTGAGCTCTTTGTGAGAGATTTGATTGTAGGACTAACCGTTGGTGTTGATACAGCTACTATCTCTAAAGTTGCTGAACATCTGAAGTTATTATCCTCATAGATTCGGCTGGAGTTGAGGTTAGCTCAGCTATTCAAGTCACGAGACCAACTGGTGAAGCTGATGCATTAGTGACTTTTGTCCCTTATTATAATTACCCATTCCGTTTAGAATAGATAAGCATAATACTCATAGGATTTTTCGCAAACCCTTAGCCATCAACGGTTTTGAAGTGCCTTTACCGACTACCGTTTGAATCTCGCTAGCATGCAGATTATTTAAGTCTGCTCTACATGTAACATTGCACTAAGAGAATAAACTCTCTTAGAACTTGGTGCTATAATATTGAATACATAGGCTTGGTCATTTTCACGGGAACGGACCACCCGGCAACGCGTGTTAGGTGTAGACTTATCTGTGATTAGGGATTGAGATAATGTCCCTCAGACATGAATTCTTGTTTTTTTTGAGATAAAAGATTAACCAGCAACGCGTGTTAGGCGTAGGCTTATCTCTAATAAGGGATTAAGATAAAGACCCCTATGTGTAAGTGGCATGGATTCAGAGATCATTAATTTAATAATAGTCATTGGCTACGATATTGAATACGTAGGTTTTGTCATTTTCACGGGAATGCGCTACCTGGTAACGCGTAATAGGTATAGACTTATCTCTATTGAGGGATCGAGATAAAGTCCTCAGAATGAATTATGGTGTCCTTTTCGTGGTGAAATACTAACCAGCAATGCGTGTTAGGCGTAGGCTTATCTCTACTTAGGATTCGAGATAAAATTCTCCGTGCGTGTAAGACACGGATTTTAGCGTTATTAATAATGGCCTGTCATAATGTCGAATACGTGGGCTTTTGTCATTTTCATGAAAAAAGACTAACCGACAACCATGTTAGGTGTAGACTGATCTCTATTGAGGAGTCGAGATAAAGTTTCCCATGCATGAAATGCATGGATTTTGCTATTGAAGAACTGTGTTGTGTCTTCTTTTAGGCAAAGATGAACCCTGTGCTGGAGAGGAAGAATTTTATATTCTATCTCCAGGTAAAAAAGAAACTCAAAATAGGATCTCCACTTCGAAAATCTGAAGGATGAAACTAAGAGTGAGATCTCCACTCCGAGAATCAAAAATATTTAGATAACCCTAACTGTTTAAAGGTTTAGTTATCCAATCTAAAAATGAATTTCTCATTTATCGAGATAAAATTCCAACTTTAACCCTAATTGTTTAAAGGTTTGGCCAAAGGGGAGATTAAGACAATCCTAACTATTTAAAGGTCTGATCGATCAATGTGGGTGGAAGCCTCTCGTTTATCAAAAGGGGATTCCGGTTTTGGTCCTAACTATTTAAAGGTTTGACCGAGATATATTTTAAGATGACCCTAACTATTTAAAGGTTTGATCGTTCAATTTATAGACCTCTCATTCATGGAAGGAATCGAGAGGGGATTTTAGCTTTGGCCCTAACTGTTTAAAGGTTTGACCAAAAGGAGTTTGAGACGATCTAACTGTTTAAAGGCTTGATCGTTCAATTTGTGAACCTCTCGTTCATGGAAGGAATCGATAGGGGACTTTGGCTTTGGCCCTAACTGTTTAAATGTTTCACCAAATGGGCATTTGATACGACCCTAACCGTTTAAAGGTTTGATTGTTCAATTTGTGGACCTCTCATTCATGGAAGGAATCGAGAGGGGACTTTGACTTTGAACCTAACTGTTTAAAGGTTTGACCAAATAGGGGTTTGAGACGACCCTAACTGTTTAAAGGTTTGATCGTTCAATTTAAAAGTAGACCTCTCATTCATGGAAGGAATCGAGAGGGGATTTTAGTTTTGGCCCTAATTGTTTAAAGGTTTGACCGAGATAGGAGTGAGGTAGTACAAATAACAGTGGGAGTGTCGATTTGCATAAATCACTATATCAATACAGTAGGAGTTTCTGGTATTAAGTTGCAAGGACTTTAACACAAGAGGGTTTGAAACTTTCAGCACTAAGTCTGGACTCTAACAATGGAAATGTTGAGTGCGCAGACACAGCGGGAGTTTCAATGGATCAAACCAGAAATAATTTTTAGTGGACCCACCGTTAATTGATTTAATCAGTGAGGGATTAAGCACTCCATAATTAGATCGTGGGGGTTTCGTGAGGGAAGATTGACCGGATGAAGTTATTGAATCTCATCTCGACAAAAGAGTGCTTAAGAAGTCACATGGGAGGGTTTTAATCATCTTAGAAATGATTAAATAGCTAGAGTGGAAGGTTCTTAATCATTCTTTATCATGATTTAGAGTTTATTAGTTTTGGGTTATCCTTAAGAATACCATGTGTAGTATTCTCCAGGAACTTCCCATTAAAGGTAGGGAGCAATTTAGCCTCATGTATTAGTTGGAGGTTGTGGAAATAGTTTATACTCGTATACCTTGTTAGAGTAGATGGAGAAGAAGTTTATACTCGTATACTCTTTGGAGTCTACACTGCTCTCAATTGGCTTGTTTTGTCGTTATGACGTCGGAGTCAATTAAGGCTTGGATTTTGTTTTTGTGGCCAAAGCAAACCTTGGTGGGATGAAGAACCTTCCTGTGGTACACACAGTAGTTTGGATTCGTAATCCTCTTAGCTCTTTCCTGATCTTTAATAGGCAGCAATTCGATCTTGTCGTTGGAAGGAGTACTCTTTTTGGAGTCTCAGATCTGGAGTCCTTCGTTGTTTCTGAGTTTATTGTTGTGACATTTGATTAACATCAACAACAACCACAGGTGTTGTCGGCTGGCTTTTCTCGGCCTTCTTTCTTCTAAGGAAGTGCTCAACCTGTTCTCTGCGTAGTTTTAAATCTTTCCAGGTGGTTGAGGGGACAACTCCCATGACTTCAAGGATATCGATGGAGAGATTGTGATGGCAGGTATGGAGTATGAAATCTTCTATGACCGGATCTCAACAGTTCATCGCCTTATTTCGGAAGCGTTTGAC